CTTGATCTGTAATCAGATCAAACTTTCAGATCCTCACAGGAGAAAGGGCATCTCTGATGCAGGACCTCAGAACTGAGCACCCAAGTCAAGTATGCAAAAATCTACTAGCCTATTGCCCAACTGGAAAGAGGACTCCATCCCCTAAAAAAAAAAAAACTGGTGGCGAGAGGGATCCGTCCACCAAGTATGGGATCTGTCTTACTTCAGACTGGAGATCCTGTTTGTGGAATATCTCACTGATACACTGATTTGTCGATATAAATTACAGAAGACATGAAAAGACAACTTATTATTAGCTGCTCAATCTATTAAAAAGTTAAACTGGATTTGTATGTGTGCATGTGTGGCAGTGGTGGGTTCTGGATCCCGTTCCAACCGGTACAGTTGGAACGGGCCCGGCAGCGTCCACATGGACCCACGCAGTGTGCCTTAGCGCCTCTGCAATCCTCCAGCTGCTCAGCAGAGCGTCATGTAGGTGCTCTATGAGCCGTGCGCGTAAGCGCCGAAGTCTTAAAAGACTGGAATGGTATTCGGTGCTCCGGGCATGCTCCGGTACGCCCGTACCGGGGTGTACCGCCTGCAACCCACCATTGATGCGTGGATATGGATGTGTGTGTGTGGACAAGTCCCTGCAGTTTGCTTGGAAAGACATTTTTCAGAATTGGTTTGCTATTGCCTACTTCCTATGGAAGAGCGAGATGACTGGAATTAAGAGGATTTAATTATGACCCGTAATTCAGCAGTTTTCAAATTACAAGAAGTAACACATTTCCACATGAGATGTTTTGAGCTTGAAATATAAACCAAAAAATGAAGGGAGGGGCGGGGAAGGAAATAAATATTGGGAATACCTGGAACATTCTGAATAATATTTGCCACTAAGGCACTAAAATGGCAACGGATATCTTTCAGGGTGTCAGAATCCTTTTCATTTTCTGCTTCCAGCAGTTGTCTGGTAAGGTCCACATACTCCAGTAAAGTATTGTTTAAGGAATGTGTTTCATTATCAAGGCCGCCACTTGCACTATAAAGAAAAACACAAGCATTTGAATATAGACTTGCAAAAAAACCCACCAAATTATCGCAAACTATAGGCAGATTTGAGAAATGTATTGTCAAATATATGAATATCATATGAATATATGAATACTGTATCCTGAATACAGTACAGTAGCAGTAATTTTATAATAATACTGTGCAATTTTTTTTCCTGGTTTCATTCAATAGCAATAGCAGTTAGACTTATATACCGCTTCATAGGGCTTTCAGCTTTCTCTAAGCGGTTTACAGAGTCAGCATATTGCCCCCAACAACAA